AAATAAAAATCTACTACTTTGACAATATTCCTATGATCTAATTCTCTTAATACTTTAATCTCTCTTAATATTTCTAATGGATATCCATCAAAATCACGTCCCATCAATGACTGATCTCCTAAATTGAATTGCTTTACTGCAACCTTTTTGTTTGTTACACCATCTGTTCGTAATGTAACTTCTCCATATGAACCTCCTCCTAATTTGATTCCATCTTTCTTAAATCGTCTATTTTGAATTTCATAATAAATGTCAGTTATAGTTGGTTCTTCTTCCATTTGCATTCTGATTCTATAACTTCATAGTTCTTTTTTCTCTCTTTTTTATTTGGCTTATTTTTTCTAATGTTAACTACTTCTTTTTCATTGAAATACAATACAACTATTATATAAAACCCCTCTTTTCATTCTTCATCTTTTGTCTTTTACATATTACTTATAACTCAAAAGATGAACCCAAAATAAATTAAATAACACCAATTTAATTTCCCCAAAACACTGATGAATACTAGATATGAACATATTCAATATAATGAAGACTATAAGGTATTTGGTTTAGTACTTAAAATTAAATTATAAAAGAAAGTGGAAAAGAAGAAACGGAAAGAAATTTAAGTTAAAAAGTAATATCAGGGAAAGAAGTGTAACTTCTTTCTATTAACTGAATCATGTAATCCACATCAAAAGCTCCACACATTTCACGAATTGAATGCATAGAAAGCATTGGATTACCAAGGTCTATAGTTGTCATTCCAGTTGTTGAAGCAACGTGTGGACCGATTGTTGATCCACCAATAATACTCTGTTTAAGAACAAATGTCTGAGTAGGAATATCTCCAGCAGCTTTAACGACCATTGCACGTAATAATCCATCAGACATATACTTCTGTCCGCAATGTTCTTTTAAAACTGGTCCACTATTAAGTCTTATTGGATGATTTTTTTCCATTACATCAACAGTAGGATGAGAAGCGTGTGCTCCATCAATTGATAAAACGACTGATTTTGCATAAGCAACATAAATTGATTGGATACTTTCATTATTAAAAAGAATAGAATGAATACGGTTAATGGTATTTGTTAAAAAAACACTTTGTGCACCTCTTCTATTTGTTGACCCAATTTCTTCATTATCAAATGCCACAAACATATCAATTTGTTGAGAATTTTGGTTATGTTGTTCACTAGAGAAGAATCCTTGTAATGATGTGAAAACACCGTTTAAATTATCAATCCCTTGACCAACAATATATTTATTTAAAGATAATAATGATGCAGGTTCACAATCACAGAGACAAAGGTCAGTTGAAATAATGTCTTTTACATCTACCTTTAATTGGATAGCAATTTTATTTAGAAGTAAGTCATATGCAGAAATTTTCTTTGATGCTGCTTCTGAACATACAGCAGAGAGATGCTTGTCCTTGTCGATTATGTATTTTCTTTCAGTGTCAAGATGGATTGCTAATCCACAAATTCTAAACAACGGCTCCTTGATTGAAACAATACGCCTTTCTCCATTAGTTAGAATAACTCTTCCAGATATTCCTAAATCACGGTCAATCCATGTATGCCAAATTCCACCACCATAAACTTCACAAGAGACTAGTGCAAGGTTATTCTTTATTAAATCAGGATATGGCTTTAATTTTAAGAAAGGAGAGTCAAGGTGTGAGCTTGTAATAAAAATCCTTGATGTGGCATTTGCACTATTTGTTCTGAATGCGATCAGACTGCTATCGTCTCTAACAAGATAGTACTTTTTATGAAGCTCAAGGTTCCAAACCTCATTTTCTTTAAGGTGAACATAACCAGCAGATTCAAGTCTTTTCTGGACAGTTTGACAAGCAACAAATGGAGATCCTGAAGCCTCATTTAAAAAATTGATGAAGTCTTTAGCTGAAGATGACATGATACAAAGTTTTAAGATTTTTCTTTTTTTATTTTTCTTTTTTTTTTTGACTTTATCAGTAAATTTCATTTTATTCAAAGCAATAAATATTCACCACAGCAATAAACTTAAACACAGCACCAGTGCCTTCTCTTTGTCTTTGTAAGTTATCTGGACAATGAAAAAATAGGGTTTGAAAGAACTATAAAAATAAGAGAAGAAAAAACATAACCAAATAACAAAAAATGAGTGATACTGACAACGCTAATAAAGAAATTAAATCATATGAACACCCTGAAGAAGTACTCTCAAAAAAGAAACAAAAGAAATTGGC